TGGTTACAAATTTCAAAAAAGCAAATTTTAAAGGGATAAGACAAGAATTATCTGTTGTGAATTGGGCAGCTAAGTTATTTGGAAACACTGACCAGATGTGGAAACATTTTAAAGATAAATTTTTAAATATTCAAGGTAAACATATTCCTTATAGAAAGAAAAGGGTAGCTGCTAGTAAAAAAAAAGGTTAGCTCACAAAGAGTTTAAGAGATAAAATTAAAGAAAAGCAACATAAATTTAAATTGAATGGTATGACAGGAGATTTAATAGATTTTAGACGATCAAGAAAGTTGGTGAAACAGGAAATTAAGACATTAAAAAGGATGTATGAGAAAAGGTTGGGTGAAAATGTAAAAATTAACAGTAAGGATTTCCTTAAACACATTAAGGGTAAACAAAATGTTAGGATGGGGGTAAGACCCTTGAGGGATGATAAAGAAAGGCTAGTATTTGATGATTATGAGATAGCTGGGTTATTAAATTTTTCTTTTTCTTCAGTTTTTTACTAACAAAGATTTAAGCAATATTCCCCATCTTGAACAGTTGATAGGTGGATATAAGATTGAACAAGATGACTGCATTAATTTTAAGCTGGTTAAGAAAAAATTGGGAAGTTAAAAAAATTATAAGGCTCTTGGGCCAGATAAGGTTTTGAAGGAGGTTAAACATTGGATATGTAGTCACTTACTACTATTTTTTGTCAGTCCTTGAATTGTGGGCAAGTACCAGAGGATTCAAAGTTAGCAAATGTAACTCCTCTTTTCATACAAGGAGAGGCTGAAATCTCTCAAATTGTTTTCTCTAAAAAAAAGAAGAGTTAGGGGGATCTGATTGAGGTGTTTAAGATTGTAAAGGGAATTGATTGTGTTGATGCATCATCTTGTTTCATATTTAACAGTGAGAACAGTAGGACTAGGGGACACAAATATAAATTTTGGCAAGTTTGGAGTCATCTTCAGCTAAGACAGTTTCATTTTTCTGACAGGGTGGTTGGCCTTTGGAATGGGTTGCTCTCAGATGTTGTAGAGGCAGTAAATTTAAGTGAGTTAAAGAAAAAGCTTGATAAGTATGTGAATGATTAGGGCTGGCTTTTAGATTTTTTTTAATTATTTCAATTTAGTTTAGAGAATGGAACAGTTGAGATGGACCAATAGGTCCTATGTTGTCTCAAAACATTATGTATTGTTATATAAATTTACCCTATAGCATGCAGTCTACACAGATATTATCATCATCACCATTTTAATGATACACTAAAACGTAACTTCTTGCCAAAGAATTTATATCTATTCACATTTTTCTTCAGCAAATAATAATAATTGAATAAGTTGTGTGTTCCAAAAGAGTACCTTAAAGTTAGGTTATAATTGTGCTAGTTTTGATTGTTGGAATTTATTTCATTCCAATTATATTTGCCCTCAAAACGTTATGTAATGGTATTTTGTACTTCATTAGTTTAAAAGTGTTATTTACAATAAATGGCACCAATTATAAATAAACAAAAGTTAAAACAGTGATGATGATAGTATCTGTGTAGACCACATACTATAGTAGCACCAATTTTTCTCTGAAAAACCATAATAATTATTTTTATTTTTTTTAGCTGATTGTAATTTGGATTGGATAATATAATTCTGAAGTATGTTTAAATCACAAGTGATCAAATTTCTCCTTAAAGTCTTTTTAATTCAAATATTTAAAAAAATTGAGATTGACATTTGGTTGGTGAGGGGAGGGTCATAAACAAATCCTCATTCTGATATTTTTTGACACTATTTCAAAACTTAACCATCCCATAAAATGTTTTGGTATTTTTTGAATTATGAAGAGAACAAGTCAATGCTATAATAGTATATGAAATCCAAAAAGAAAAAGAAGGTGAATGATAGGGTGGAGACATAGGTTTCTGCACTACTTCTAAAGTTGGTGCAAGATTTAGGGTTAATCCTAAACTAACTCAATTATTTGAAGCCTATTATGATTGTTATTTTGTCTAGCAGTGTCTCACTCTTGTCATCTTGGTAATATTCAACTGGGAGTACAAAATTTAGTATCTACACTGAAATTGAAATGTAAAACCTAGCATTAGCAATAACATTTAACATACCGTATTACTTAATAAGTTTCATTACTTTATACTTATGAGTTAAAGTGCATGTTAACTTTAAAACTTTATAACACAAAACGTAAACAATTTTGAGTTTTGCACTTATTAACTTACTATCAAAGAATTTTAATAATATTATTAATAGCTTGATTGTTAGTTACTGTTACGACTGTTGATGTTATGTTGAGAAGTTCACTGTCCTTTTTAGATTTTGTAGAAATTAAAATCCAAGTTAGTGATACTGATTATCATATCGCGTTTTGAGACTTTTCATAATGAAACTTTCGTTAAAACACATATCTGTGGTAAATATATTACATGAATACTTAAAAATTGCACCTTACCTGCTTTTCAGTTCACATTTTTACCACGATTATCGCCAACATACTCCAAGTTCTAAAGTTGAACCTAAGCCTACTCAAAAAAATCTTAACTATGGTAATAAAAAGCCCTCTCTGTAAAACTTATTCACATAGCTGTACGTTATCTGTACATAAAATAATAAATATAAATTTGTCAAACAATAAAAAATAAAAAATACGCATTTTAATTCATAAATTTAAAAAATAAAATATGAACAAAAGGCGTCAAAAATTTTGACCAGTAAGCAACAAAAAGCCATTAATTGTTATTTAAGACTCATAACATAGGTAACCAGAGCCTTCATTGGGCAAAAATGAACAATGTTTCCGATGAAAGCTCTGGTAAGAGGACCGAAAGCTCGCAACTTAAAGTATTTTTAATGTACAGAAAAGTCCATGTACAATTCTACATAACAAAAAAGTCGTTAAGGGTTTCACATTCTGTCATTAACACTTTTATATTGATTTTTAACCATCAGAACACAGTCTATTTGTATTAAAGTCACCCATTGTGGTTCGATGGTAAGTCTGAAGGTTTATAACTCTAAAAACCGGTTTACGATACCCGTGATGGGCATAGCATAGATAGCTCATTGTGTAAATCTGCGCTTGGCAACAAAACAAACTGTATTAAAGTCCTCCAGTGGGTCAACGGTAAGTTTACGGACTTGTAACGTTAAAATCCTGGATTCAATTCCCCGTGCTTGTTGGTTTTGAATTTCGCGCAAAGCTACACGAGGGCTATCTGCG